TATGTTTTGTTCATATCTATCTAACAATTGACCACATCACTATGCTTTTAGAAATGATAGCAGTGATTGTAGCAAATTTTTCCAGCTTCAACTTTGTTGAAAACCACTTTTCAATCAAATGCAAGGAACAAAAGTTATTAATGATTCAAGTCACTAATGTCTTATGATTATGCTCATTCAACTATTCAGCAGGCAACATTGGTGATTCTGGTGCGAAGAATAGAGCACAAATATCATGGCTACTATGTCACACTGCAGAATACAGTGTTGCCTACAGAACAGCTGCTTGATCATGCCAAAAGATTATCAATCTCTTAAACAATTAGTAACAATTTAATTTGACATTTGGCTGAAAAACGATATTCCGCAAAGTTGTAGCTTAGAAAATTTCCCGTAAGAATAGTCATAGAAAAGCAATATGGAAAATGGGTAGAAGACAATGAACAAAAAGTTTGGTAAAGTAATTTCCATATAAACTTTGAATAGTTTGTGCCAAGTCAGTTTCTTACCAAATGAGTTTAAATTTTGGGAGGCTAATCAGGACCTGATTTGAAACCGTTTGAGCACTGTGGAGCGAAAATTTCAAATTTTGCATCAGTCTATTGAACACGTTGTATGAAAGAGACAAAACTTGGGCTCATTTTAGAACTACGAAAATGTAGAGCCCTGGGTGCAGCAGTGTTGCAGCAGATGGCGTTATTGCAGCAGATGCAATAAATCTTAAGGCAATTTCCTGGAAACGGGTTCCCGTATGGTGTGATCTATTTTTTATTAAAATAATATTTAGCTGGCCTTTTGTAAAATAAATTAGCTCGATTTCAGGAACCTAGTCAGATTTTCCGGAATCAGGTATCGTTACGCATTTTTGAAACCGGCTTCCCGGGATGTCCGAGGTAGACAATGCTACACTAGGAATGTATGGACATACAGTTTGGTTTTCCCATAGTCAATTCCATACAAACTTCATACGGTTCATGATAAATCAGGGTGACCAAGAGAATTTTGTTTCCAATGCAATTTAGAGCAGATTTGCAATGAACTCTAGAGATAACACCAAGGTATTTCAGAGAAAATGTCCTAGGGAGTTTTGGGATGAACTCTAAAATATGTTTGACTTAAATTCCAAGTCAATTGTTAATTTATTTCGTCAAACAAATGTAGACTACATATACTAACACACACTTTTCTAGCTCTTAGAGATAAACCTCTAGCAGTTAATGTTTCTCTTAATGTAGCTTTATGCATAGTTACATCAATAATCTCACAGTATTTATTATAGACAGTCATGATTGTACCATTTTTTCCATAACCTATGTCCTATGAGGTGATAATTTTCAACACGCTTGATGGTGCAAAACAATTTAAACTTGCCAATAAATTTTATTAATTTACGCGCTGTGAGATTACATCATTGACAAAAGAGATCATGGCAATTTCTCTTCGTTTCTAAGTATTTCAATGTTGATCAACATGCAACGGGATTCATAAGAATGGAGGGAAAAAGAGGTGCAACCTCGTTTCCTAAGAGCGAATAACAACAATTGTTTTTGATCTGATTCTATACGACTATTTGAATGGAGCCCAAACTACACTACAATGAGAATTGATCGAACGTAAGCTACGTAAAGTGTTTTTCACGTTACTCCAAGCATCCGCTGTTCGGTAATTTTTGAACTTACAAAACTTTAGAAGACAAAAAATAGAAAAAAAAAATCGCGTGTTTAAATTTTCCGGAAAATTTTAATTGAAGGTTTAGTATTTTCTGGAACATCACGTACTTTGAAAATTCCTAACTCATGAACCAATGAAAATTTTCTATGGATTTTTTACCTTCTTCAATACTTCTTATCTTTTTCTAATCCAAATTTAAAAGTGGTGCTTCTTAACGGATTAGAGCTATGACCACAAAACTAACGTCCTGGAACATTTAGTTTCAACTTCGCTGGTTTTTCCGAAATTACTATAATACTTTGAAAATCCATAACTCATGAACCAAGTATCATAGAAAAAAGACTGTTATAGTGAAACGATAAGGAAATTATTTCAGCAATCAATTCAATACATCATCCAAACCATATAAAATATAAACCGAAAAATGTTTACAAGAAGATTTTCACGTTGGAGGAAAATTGCAACGAAAACCATTTTCCGAGCGATGATTTTTTATCAATAACTTTTCTCTTATTTCACTGGTGATAATTTCAGATAATTTTGAGTATTTACCGAAAAGCACATGGCCGAAATTCCAAGAATATCATAAAACACACAAGAAAACGATAATTTTTGTAACGTTTCTATGAATTCATTAATATTTCGGTCATATCTGTCACTCTGGTCACTCTGAAATTTTCACCAGTGAAAGATAAAAAGTTTTTTTTTTGTTCACATAATCATAAACTGTAAATATGTGCAAAATTTCATTAAATTCGGAGACCCTACGGCCAAAACCTACTCGATACTAAAAAAAAACTCCACTAGTGACATCTACTGCTGAAATCAGTCAACCAGGAAAAATATGCTAAGCCACAGCCAAAAACCGGGAATTTAAATTATAAAATCCAGTGGTTACTCTGGTTTTGAAAAGAAAATGTTTCCTTGAATTATTAAATTGTGAGAAAAGAACAAAATCCTTTCAAAACAAGCCAAGAAAATTAAAAAAGTTGGAAGGGTTGTATACTAGATACGACCGCAGGGTTGGCGTTGGATAACGTCTGTTATGTGTTGTACTTAATTGTGTATATTATATTTTAGGAATATTCCTTAATAACTCTTTTGCGAAAGTTTGGTGGCCCTGAACAGGGCCGTTTTGTTGGGCTGATGTTGTTGGATTTGCTCTACTCTGTCGCCCTGGAGGAGTTTTGGAATGATGTTGGTAGTTCGAAGACAGACAGCATCTCCCCTTCCAGCGTTCCCACACCCCAGTATAGTCCCCAAATTTAAGTGTAACTGTGATATTCTGGAAAGAAATTGTCTTCAAAACTAACTCTTTGTCGAATTATTGGTGGCCCTGAAAAGGGCCGTTTTGGTTTTTCTTGATAATGTTGTGGCCCTGAAAAGGGCCATTTTTGCAACGCGCTCGGCGTAGTTGCCCTTGCGGAGCAGACGGTGAATACGACCGACTGAAAACTGCAGCAGCTGGGCATTCCATGACGGCGGCCCAGTATACCGGAGCACTGGCACCAACGCACTCGGCGTAGTTGCTCTTTCGCCCCTAGGCTCTGCTGCCGCTGCTCTGCTGCCGCTGCTCTGCTGCCGTTGCTCTGCTTCCGCTGCTCTGGTACTGCTGCTCTGCTGCTTTGCTGCTGGGTCGACGATCGGATAGACAATAATGGAACGGGCGACCTTGTTGGACGCTTATAGAGTAGAACAGAAAATATCAGAGGTGTCAGATACTCGCATCTGATCTCTCGGTTGGAGAAAGTATAAGAATATAAAAAAAATCAATCGATTTTCACCATCTTTAGACAATGGTTTACTTTTAACCATTTTTCAATAGTTTACAGAATGAAATCAATAGTTTTGAAACATTCAGCAAATTGCTAGAAATATTTCCAATCGATTGATGCCACTATTTCGTAAATCTATCGAGAGACGGTTGAGTTATTATCGTTCAAAATCTTTCAATTTTTCGTAACGCATCCAAAATTACTGTTTTCAATTTTGTACCCCCGTATGTTGCCGAAAGACGTTATCCAACGTCAAAAAATAATAAGAATAACTAAAAAACTGCTCATGTTTAAAAGAAGGAAACCTATTTAATTGGGGTCTAATAAAGTGCAACACTCTAATGACAAATTCCATCCCGTAAAATTTCTAGACCGGACCGGGAATCGAACCGACCCACCTTCTGCGTTGTCTTGCTTCATAGTTGTGCCTTTACCGACGGAGCCTAAATGAGGTTAAATTACTTCTTATCCCAATTCCGTGTTCCTGCTGCCACAATAGTCCCAAACGATCCAAGCGATCACAATACTCGCTACCCGACTCTGTTGTACAGGGCCGGCTTATATAAGAGAGCGAAGCTTACCCGAGAAAGGGAGGTAGAAATATATTCGATTATAGCAGAGAAAAATACTGTGTATAGAAAACTAAATATAATATTATAATACATATTTTCACAGAAATGTGCACAGGCAGAAGGCCGTCGTCGTCGTCGTCGGTCGCCGCCGTACACTGGCTCTGGCTGATAGCTTTGGCTTTATAGGTAGAGCACAGGCAAGCACCAGAGTTTTGTGAAACAGCACCGAACACCGCCAAGTCGTCGAGAGGCCCCGATCAGAGCCAGTGCCAGAGTCGTATGTTGCAAAGAGACACAGACACAGCGCACAGCACAGAGGAGAAAGATGGTTTGTGGATGATGCTGGGTGGGGGTTGGGATGGTGGTTGGTGGCGGCGGCCGGTGGTGTTCGGCCGGGTGAGGAGGACATGAATAATGGGGGACGGAACGGGCGCGCACAGAGCACAAAGCAAGCAAGCGGTTCGAAATGATCTCTCAGGGGTTGTACACGGCTCAGCTTTGCAGTGCTACGGTGCGGTGCGGTTGGAATACAAGGTAGAAGACACAGAGAGAGAGGTGGCAGCAGGCATACCAGAGCGGCAAAAAACAGGGTGGGATTACGTTTGGATTGGGAATTTCTGCTTGCTGGAAAGGTATTGGACTGTTTGTTTCGGGGAAGGCAATGTTGGGTTTTGAGCAAACCGAGTTACGATTTCGGGTGGTAGTCGACTGCTAGTTGTTGGGAAGGTGGTTTGAAGGTTTCGGTACAGGCTCGTTTGAATGTGGATATGAACGAATGGTTGGCAATGTTCAAATGCGGAAAACAGTCGGTGTAGAGGAAACCTATACATCTAAGCCGGGGCACAGACACATTCGCACAGACCAGGTAGAAGAACGAGTACATAAAACTGAGCTCTGATGGATATAGCAATAGCGTTCGCTCTCTTTATACCCGTAGTAGAGGCACCGAGCACCGAGTGTTGTGTGTTGTGTTCGAACAGAGCAGCACACTGTGCGAAGCTGTATGTGGTGTATAGTAGGTATACGCGCGGGTTGATGATGAAGGAAAAATAAAATGAACGACAAGGCAACCGACCGAACGAGCGACCGACGGATGGGTCTGACTGCAAGACTGAAGCGAATGGTAGATTAGTAACATTTTGTGCGCTGCATGATATAGGCTGACTACACCGAGAGACTGTACGAGGCGCTTTTTCTATTCCCTAAACATAGCACACAGCATTTTTACGAGCGAGCGAGCGAACATCGTACGTAACGTCAAAACAGGCATCCAAGGAGCCGTAGACTATTTCGCGTACGCTGAGCCAGAGGTTTGATTGGAAGATTTTTTTCCCCGGAAAATTGTTGAATGAAAAGTACCGAATTGGTGAAAAGTGTTCAACTGTTCAAATACCTGGATTGGTTTGCCATAGTGCGACAAGAGATGTTTTGTAAAGTGTCGGTGGAAAAAGGTCCAAAATAGCATGTGAATTGTTCCCGTCACCTAAGTGAAGACTAGATTGAAAATCTAGGAAATTGGTGCAAATTTAAAAAAAAAACGGTTTTACACAAGAAAATTCGTAAAATAACAGTGCGTAGTGTGAGAAGTGAATCTATCAAGAAGGAGGTCCCAGGAGGAGATCCGGTTGATCCGTCGACAGTACAATTCAGTGTGATGTTCCCGGCAATGATCGCAGCAGTATTCTAATCCTTTGGTTCCGTAAAAAAGTCGCATGAACAGGTACGTTACCTCGCATTTCCCGGCAGCACAAAAAATCGCAGCATGCTGCAATAAACTGTCGCACAAAAATCGTTTGTAAACAAACTTTCTTACCACCCCTCGGCATGGCCACTGACTCTCACCCTCGCCGCGCCGCCGTCCCTGTCTAGTGATAGTGTGTGCATGGTGAAACCGATTCCGATAAAGTTTGAGTGCTTTGAGAGTTTCGATCGCGTGCTTATTGGGTGGCTGGCAATAGAAGAGGATGGAAATGACATTCGATCGGCTCAAGTAGTGCACACAGGGTAGAGGTGTAATTTCGCGCGCGTGAGAGAGAGAATATTGTAGGTACACATTAGCAGCAAGAGCGCAACAACTTGGTACCTATGCAATGCGAAGGAGGAAACCAGCCAAAGCAGTTCATTTTTTGTTGTTTACAGCCTCGCGAGTAATTGGCTCGGTACAAGAATTAACGGAAAACGCACACACAACAACGGACTCGCTGTCAAACTGTGCCGATAGTGCAGCTTTATACGAAATGTGTACTGTAGTATTTTCCTACCATGGGTGTAAGAACGTTGTTTGTAACTCCTTTGCTTAAATGTTATAACATTTTTGAATTCATCAGTTTTGCCCATGGCTGATAGAACATTTTAAATGTGATATTTCACTCCTTTGCTTAAATTCTATGAAACTTTGATTTCATCATTTTTTCCTTGTTGAATCAAGTTAAAATTAGCTGAAGTTTGTTTTCTTTCAGAAATATATATACAAGATCAGTCGATAATACTTCCTATTGGAAACCACGATTGTCTACGAAATGTTCCTGGAATCCGCAAAGACGTCACATGTTTCGTCTAAACCTATAAAAGAAGCGCATTCTTATTGTTTATTTACTTTTTCTTCCGTGTCCTTTTCCGCTTGGTTTCTTGAGTCCAACCAGCCCAAGTGGGTGGTTGGACTCAAAATTATCTCATTACTCTTTGTTTGTTTTTTCCTATGCACATAGCATAGCAGACATAGACGCCTGGAGGGAGCCGGACGAGCTCGAGTGAATGAATGAATGAATATTTATTTGCATTTGGCCGATATAAGAATGAACGCGGAACAACAGGGAAGGATACGAAGATTGGAAGGACGTTTGACTGATAGGCCGCGCAGTGAATGAAACGTCAGAATTTCTTTTTCGCGCGCGCTTTTCGGTTCTATGTGCCTCGTCCTAGCCTGGCCTAGTGTGTACGAGATTTATGATTATGGTGCGCGGTGAGAGCGCGTGCGAGCATTCCATATTTATTAGGGTGCTGCACGGAGGAGCATAAAACTCAGCCAGGAAGGAGAAGCAGCAATCAAAGGTCGCATGCAGAGGAAGAAGCATGAATACCAAGAATGATGGAATGATTTTCGTTCACGTATGTATGTATGCTATGTAGCATGTACTTCGGGGTTTGCATCTATCGTGTGCAACCAGCAAGGTTCACAGGAACAGGAATTATGGCTTGTTTTAATGGGGAGTTTTTAAGCGCCATCGTCAGAAAGGTGGTTGTTTTCGTTTTACGGTAGTTTGTTTACAGGTGATTCCAGATGGATTACTGCCGTTTTAAAATCTGCCCTTTTGGGGTGGCGTGAGGTGAGGGAACACGCGGCTCGTTCTGGGAAGAATTATTCAAATCGGCTAGCTAGATTTCTTAGAGATGGTGGTTGGCCGCAGTTCTAATGGCCAATGGAAATTGCGTGATTTGCATTTATGTGCGAAACGTTTTAACTTAGAATGGGATAGTCAAATTGAACCGTTACTGACGGACGAATGCTTTAGATACGACAGGACGATGAAGTTAGGTCTTTATTTTAAGGTTTTCGTAGGCGAAATCTGTGGTAATGATGCGACAGGTACTCAGGTCAGTTGCATAATAAAGATTTCAACAAATGTCTGTGAGTCGTGAGATTATGTGTTCCCATTCTAGAGGGAATTCGAATGTCGGATAAAAATGTACCAAATAAGACCTTGAAATGTAATTTCTACCCTGCAGATTTGAAATGTGGTTTCAAAGGATTTCATAATCGGCACATTGATTCAGAAGGTTTTCAGGGAGACTGATTTGTGCATTCAGTATCGACATCTCGCTCATGAAATTCAGTGACTAATACCAATGCAAAATTCTCCTGGTGAGGAAATCTGAAAATCCTCACAGAACGAATTTGATTTCCATCTATGTCCCTAACTTGAACCGAGGTTGTTTCCTGATTTATATCAATTAATGATAAATTTACAAACAGACTCAAAAGTTCATAGACTCAACTAAACTCACTTTGAAGATAATATACCGGAAGGTCTTAATAAAATGGGAATTATGTATATTTGATCCTGAAAAGCCCATTCGCTTTTTCCTCCATATAAATTATCTTTTCGATAGAATCTACAATTTATATATAAAAAATTACTATCCATTTTGAGATTGTAGAAAAACGACGTAACTAATTGCTCGTTCACCGTGAACTGGTGGCCATTTTCGATAAATCGACGTCACAAAAGTACTTACGTCGATTTGAATATTTTCTCAGAAACTATTCTCCTATGACCCTTCATTTGAAATATCGCTTCTGAGTTTTAACTCGAAAAAGATTATGGATAGCTCATTCGATAAAAACGCAGCTCGATTTCCCTGTATATATAGTGTGACTTGCCACACAATTATACTAATGCAAACAATGGTACAGGCTTATAAAGCTCTCAACTAATGATTTGGAAGTGCATCTAGAACACTAAGTTGAAAGCCGACGTAAAGTTCCAGTAGGGACGATATAAAGCCATGGAAGAAAAAGATTATGGTCACTTCCCCAGGGGCATCCAGAACATATTAATGTGTGACATATTGTGACACCGACTGATTCCACAAATATTCGTTGATATTGCGTTATATGGAACCCCGGTATGCCATCTCGATCTCGTCAAGCTGAGTCACATGGTGTATGACACTGACATGGTATTTTCCAAGCGGTATGTATGATTCGAATTCTTTGCAAAGTCAAATAACCACTCTCAATTCTGTTTTTGCGCGATGTTTTTCGTCTCTATTTTTGATCATGTGACAGCCAAATTTAATGCAACTTGTTTAAAAAAAATCACAATAAAACCAAAGAAAAATCTGGTGTTTTAGAAAAATGCTGTTCCTATCCTGCATGCCGTGAAAATAGAAATAATGAAAATCGCGTACAAACAGAATTGATTGTATTAGATAAAACATGTGTTTTAACATTTACAAATTCATGTAAATTTAGGTGCTCTGATATTAACATATACGAGCGTCAATTTTGACATAAAATAGAGTCATAAGAGCCGCGCATTTCTGATCAATCAAACGTACTATTGATTACTGTCCTATGATCACATTGATTGGGACAAGCAATATTCAATTTAATTTGGCTAAGTTTTTTGCAACAGAGAAAAGCCAAAACTGGATTCTACTACTATCATAAAAGAAAAGATTGCAGCATAATCCAAGCTACTTAAATGTGAATTTTTTTAAGTAAGTTACGGAGCAATAATTACATTGAAAAACTAGCAAAATTTAACGATAACGATGCAATAACTCCGACTTGTTGCCAAGTGATGGAGCGTTTTCATTTTAAAATTCATGGAAAATAGTAGCTGTGTTTCGTCTTCGATGAAGACTGTCTAGAATTGACCATTTGGTTGCTTTTAAAACTCATCAGCGAAGATCCCCAAATTAATGAGGTTGCAAGACTTCATGTGGACCTCAATGTGGCTAACAATCGATTTAGGTGTCAGTAGGCTACTCGTCAAATCATACACATTTGAGAAATGCTTCTCAGGTGATTGAGATAAAACATTCTTAAATCAGAATGCCATGCTTCTAAAAATGTTGATTTCTCCCTATCACAAAAAAATCGTGGTTCGTCGCTAAACTGAGCTCAATCGCGCATTGAAATCCCGATCGAGTCGATCAGTTTCTGGACCTGAAAACTATTCCAAACATGTCACCCTTACATAGGCGTCCCTCACACGCTTTGCAATGCTATCATTTACACCCCGTAATGCCACTCCGAACCGAGTTGGCACTCACGTTCTGTTTACGCTGCATTGCGTACACCGCATACCTACTCAAACAAAACAAAACAAAAAAAAAGGCCCGAGATACATACCGAAAACAGTATGTTTTGTTTACAACCCACCTCGGTGCTGTTATCAACACTTGCACGTCGGATCCTTCATTGTTGTCCCTCTAGTCGCTCATCGCAGATAATCGCGAAAACAAACAAAAAATTCTCTCCATTCTCTCCGATTACCATCACCCAAAAGCAGCACAACATAACTCTCTTTCTCTCGACGCTAGTTTCGCGCGCGCATGCCTAAGCACCCTTAAATGAATAATTAACCGTAATTAACTTCAATAGAAGTTCGTCGTCGTCGTCGTCGTCGTCAATGAACCCCTTCGGCCCACTTCGATTCGACCCGCTAGTATGCTCTTTCTCTCTCCGCGCCTGCTTTGCTTTTTCTCTCATTCGTTCGGATCTCCTCGTAATCCCTATCCGGATATCACCGAATGTGATGCACTTCATCGTTCATTTATTTACTATGCTTTTTTTTTGTTTTGTTCTTAATGGCCTTTCCTCGTCGCCGCCGTATTGATTTTCGCTCGAGAGCGAGCGATCAGCGATCTCTCGCGCTTGATTGAAACTCCTTCGCCTTCCGTACACGATCATCGACCGACAACCGGGAGAGTGATATCATCAGCATCTGTGTTTACCGCGATCTAAAACAATTATCGTTAGATGCGCTCTCGGCTTTTATATCGACTTATTTATTTTTTTACTCTGAAAATGGTGCTCACGTGCGAACGATCATCCCGCACTTTTTGATTCGACAGCTGATCGCGCTCATGCCGTCGCTCCTTCGTCCCCATTCGCCGGGTCGTCGGGTTATTTGATTAGCATTTGCTCGCTCACATGTGCGGAAGCACGTGTGCGTTTCTTGTTTTGCAAATGTATAACAATAAACAAAT